TATACATACATACATATATATATATATATATATGTGTATATATGCATGTGTACATCCAGGTAGCATGATATTGTCGTCATTTTGATATCACCAAAATCTTTTGACATCAAGTAAATAATCAAATAAGTAGAAGTTCAAGGCAAACTAAAATTCCGAGACCCTAGCTCCACTTATATGGACATATTAATCACGATAAATGACGACAAATAACGTATTGGTACTTGAGTATGTAATTATACATAAAATAAATATAAAATAATGTTAAACATTGCTAGTTTACGATATTGTTCGATTTTCCATTTGCATGTAAAATTGTTCTCCGAACCACTCTCTATGCATTTCCAAATAACTGTAAACATATTGCATAATTAATGTACTTTTATCATGAGATTGTGACATTTAATCATAAAAAAAAGTCGCCTCCACTGTAATTAATACATACCTTAAAAACATATCTAAATATTTTAAAAGCACTTTCAATTTTTTGCTGGATATATCTGTTGATTGTAATAACTCAGGTAATTTAACTGAAATTGAAAAATTCACATTATTTTTTATCATGCAAAGATTTTACAATTTTGCATGCTTCCGTAAAATAACTTACCAAATAATCTAGTTAAATGAATGGCACCGTAATAAGTGGAGGGACTTGGAATTTCGATTTGCCTTAGAGCTTGAGGCATTAACCTCCACTTATTCGATTGTTGAAGTAAACTGTTTACTTGAGCGGATGTAACAGGCGGCATTCTTAGCGTTACACCTCGCGGGCTAGAACAACGGGAACTTGTACTTGCTATGCTACTAAAACAAAACAATCATAAAAATATTATATCTAATTTTAAACAAAAGAAAAATTCAGAGAAAGCAATAATTCTTGTTACATCATGCAATTACAATTTTGATAAAAGAAAAGAGATATATACTCCCAGAGATAAGAGTTGTTAAAAATAAATTAATAACTTATATAAAATTTCGGTAACAAGAAGTTTGAAGCAATTCGATTATTACCTTGATAAATTGCCACCATCCTGCTTTCCTTCGTCGTAAGACCTTAATTGCCGGCTTTCATCTGCAGAGCTTACACGACACGATCGCAATCTTCGCTTAGAATTGTTTAAAGGTTTACATGAATTGTCCATTTCTGAATCATGTTCTTGAAAAGGAGGTAAATGAGCATATTCCGCATCCTCAATTTCTTCTTTTGTCGATATTTCTAAATTCCTTTATAACACAGATGTTTATTTTATTAATATAAATGGCAAACCTCAATAGAACTCTTAATCTAATTATTATTGATAAAAAATGCATTTACTCAATTAATTCCTCCTTTGGGATAATGGTCGTTTGTTCGTTGTTTGATAAGGAAGATTTCAGAGAATCATATTGTTCCTTTTCTTGCCTGTACAAGAGGAGATGAGGTAATGTGAAATCGAAATATATGCGTAAGCCATCCGCGACTTCTCTGCTTATATTCACTTCATTCAGTGCTTTTTCTATTGTATTATTCGTTTTATTACGCTGGGGTTTTTCTGGAATATTCGTCAACTGCGTCATAGTGAAATGCTGTACCCAGGATTCCAGAATATTTATCACAGTAGGTTGTGCAGGAAGTACAACAAGCTGAAATAAATATCGATAATATTTGCGTGATAAGTTAGATAATTTAAATTAAAAAATTAGTCATAATAGAAATTATAATCTGTATAAATTTAGATTAAAAAAATAAGGTAAAATGATTATAATAGATTTAAAATTTTAAAATATATTTTGCACTGTGACACATTATAATCCGTACATCTATTAATCTAGAAATTATTTTCTAACTTACCTTATTTTTATTAGTTATCAGGTCATAATCTTGCTCTAAAATCCGTTTTAATGTGCTGCCTATGTCAAGATCTGCCCGCCCCCCCCCGCCACTGTCTTCATCATCACTTGTTTCGCCCATATAATCAGAACTACTTTCTGTGTCTTCTTCTGTGTTTACTTCCTGTAAATTATATATACAATATAATTCCCATGGATCTTGCTTTATTACTTTTGCAGTCCTCGATTATCAATGTAGTATATGATATGAAGTTTAAGTCTTTTGCATAGTGTGACAACATTAATGATGTCACCTCACGACGTGACACCTAATAAATTTTCTTTTACCAATATTAGTGTAGATTTTTTAATTTCTGAGTTAGTTTCTTCTTCTATTATTACAGTATAAAATTTCTTAAGTACATATCTCATTGACTTTTTTTCATATTTGAAAAGAAAAATTGAAAAGGAGACATATACCTCTGTATCATAATCAGCATGTTGACCTGAACTACCATCCTCAGAAGATCCAGTCGTAGCCGATGTAGCTCGGCTACCACCGCTTCGTGCTCTACGACGAGGTTCTTGATGCTCTGTTTCAGTTAGACGTTCTGACATTTTGTGACTTCTCTTTTTACGTTCGCGGCGATATAAATAAGCACCGCTACTTCATTAAAAAAATATGTTGATTCTTAATTAATCACATTAAATTTGTATGTTTGTAACAGTTTTTTAGGAATACATACATGTGAAGCTGTGCTTTTTGTGCTAAATCTCGTTGAAGTTGACGATTCTCTTCTGTATCTTTAAGCACATATTCCTCTGTCACACAACGATCCCAAGATGAATTCCAACCCTTATATAATAATGAATTATATTTATTGTTTCCTTAAAATACTTTAATACAATTCATATAATTAATTAGTTTTAATCAAACTTTTTTAACTCACTTGGAAATGTATAAGGTATTCCACTGCTTTTCTACCTCTTTGATCTTTATTTACAATAACATCAAGCACCTGCAAATGATTTTATAATTCACTATAAAATATTAAAATAGTTATTTTTTTTATAATTGTTCTACAAACTTTTATACAATGATAAAGTATATTTATATCTATCTATACAATTTATTTCTACATTTCATAAATCTCTGATAGAATTTTCTAACCTTAAGTTACCTCTACTTTTGCAATATGTACTTCTTTCTTTGTAAAAGGTATCAATGTTTTTCGTTACGGCATTCAATTTGCATGTTACATTTATATTTACATATGTACAACAATACTTCTGTTAAACATGCAAATTGAATGCAAAGTATATGTATAGTATATATGCTAGCAATACATGGAAGTTACCTTTGAGTCGTACAACACTTTTGCCTTCGTGGGATCTGGTTCATAGCACAACACTTTTTCTCCGTCAGAAAATTTGAATTTTGGCCCTCGCGTTGACACCATCGTAAATTTTTAATGAAATGTAAGACGTAGGTATTTAAAATACATAAATTACCAGCATAACCTATACAGCGATCGGCCAAAAATAAACAACATTTGTGTATTTGATAGTAATATTGATTTTTTAGGTGACGTTACTTTAATCTTCACAAACTGTTCCGTTTGCAAACCTAATTAATTTGTTTAATTCACTGTCACTTCTAAAAGCGTCTTCCCGGCACGATTAGCGTTGTATCTTTCCCTCTCCGTCTGAAGTTGGCCGCTTCAGGCTTCAGGAACGCCATAGATAATTGTCATAAGCCCGTGTCACACCTACGCATTCGAGATCGAGGAATGCGAACTGAGAATTTAGAATTCAACGAGGAATTCAACCAATCAGTTGACCGTAATCCGTTTTGCTTCGATTAAAAGAATGTATTATATGTATTTTTTTAACAAAGTTAATAAAATAGGAAAAAATTACAGAGAGATTTTTCTATATATTATATTTTAAATCCAAAAAGTTTGGCGGCGATTCAGAACTCAGATAAAAAATTATTTCAATAAAAAGTAGACATGTTTAAAAAAAGTAAGATAAAATGAAAAAATTTTAATTTAAACTATAAAATATAATATATTATATTAAATATAAATATTGATCTTAATGAACTGTTTCACATATATCACAGTCAAAGTGTTAACTCAGTAAATATATACATTTGCTGTAGTCAATGACGTGCTATCTGGATACATTTACTCTACATGTAAATCGTACTATAGTAATATACATTTATTACACGTAAATGTATACATTAACTCAATAAGGATATAATATACATTTATTAAAATTAACACTGTAACTTTTCGGAAATAGAGAAAATAGAAAAAAAAGAAAAAAATTAGAAATACAAAATTTTAATTCTTCTATTCTGAAGTGCTATTCTTTTTAAATTCTTCTGCATTTTTTACTATATTTACAGGCCCGTATTCAGAACGCGCTTACAATGATGTTAGCGCGCTAACATACTATACTTTACGTCACGTATATTATAGAATTTCAGAGATAAATATGCGCTTTTATCGATAAAAGCGCGTTCTGAATACGGGCCATAGCGTTTTTCATTGGTAAAACTAGTGCGCACTCAGTGCACATTAAAGCTGTTGTATACTATTCTAATCTAAATATAAAAATGAGTATCTCAATTGATAAAATGCCCAAAATTTATTTTATCAAATAGCACAATAAAATGTATCAAATATTTCACGGTTTAATTCGTTTATATATTTTTATTAAACGTATATCTTTACGTCGAATTTTGTACAACGGCTTTAAAGTGCACTGAGTTCGTACTAGTTCTGCCATTGAAAAACGCCATTATATTACGAGTACATATGGCATTTTTCATTTATTTTCTCATTCGATCGCATGCACGTTTTCACTTGCATAAGATTAAAAAAAAAAAAGAAAGCTCACTAATTTTACAAAGATCGAGAAATTCAAATGTAATATAATAATCTAATATATATAAATGACAGTGAAATAAAATAATTCTATAATAGCGGAACGGTAAAGCAGTGAAAGTATAATAAAACATTCGTGTTTTATTATAACAGCATTAATCTTTCAGAATTTTATTTTTTATCGCTACATAAATATATCATCATATATTAAAACTTAAATTATCTTTTAACTCTAAAATTGTATATAATTTGTAACATATTTGTTTAAATAATTTCCATCTATACATTTATATATATATATCCTTTCTTTTATATTTTCTATTAAATAAATATACATATAGTATATATATATATTTGATCCATTCATCTGTCATTATATTTCTCTGATTAACACTAATGCCTCATAAGTTTTCGCTATAGAAACGTTTCATAAACGTTTCATAAACGTTTAAAAATAAAAAGAAATCTACAAACACAATGTTTTTAATTAGATACATTATATCCAGATAGCCAAGGCTACAGAGGCAGATTTTGAACAGAGAATGTTATCAATTTTTGTTGATAAAAGACAACAATTTCACAAAGAGTCTGTAATATCTGATGTCTGCAAATTACCACCAGAAATAGGACAAAGCTTGCTGACATGCTTTGCCACCAATCTTCTGCCAGAGCATGTCAGCAAACTTTGTTAACTGATCCTAAGCTTGCAAACACAAAGTGTTATTTGCTGCCAATGTGCCACCAAACTGCTAGCACCTTGCTATCTGGGATATGTTTTCTTCGTAAAATACGCTCGAAATTTTAATTGAAATAGCTTTGGTGTAGCGAACAAATAGAAGAATCGACACTGCAATATTTATCATCAGGCAATAATATAGCAATACTAAAACTAAAATCAAATCACGGAGCGATGAAGATGAATCGATTGCATGAACTGATAAAAATAATTGCAGATCTATTGAATTAAGCCAATTCGTTCGACACTAGCTATTTCAAGATATTAACAATATTTAGATTTGAGCATATTTTAGCAATACGTAACGCATATTGTTTATATTACACATAATTTATGTTAATTTAATCACAGAAAGCTAGTTTTGATTGTGCCACATCAATTCAATATACGTAATTTACGTAAGAATATTTATACTTATCAAGCATGATTGGCACAATTACGGATAGTGTTGGAACTAACTGGGAGCATAAATAAAATAATTTTCAATTAATATATGTCAAAAGAATTCATTCTTAATATTACTTCTCAATTAGCGTCAGTAGTAGATGTTTCTTGTCATAATGTATGGCAAGGCAAATTAGATATTAATTAATTTTGGTAGCCTGATCATAATTTTTATCAATTGTATAATACACCACAGAATTGTACCACTATACTAATACGAACATGATAAACACAATTCCATTTCCATTTATTAACTTTCTTTCCCTCCTTTCCAACTAGTAGAAATAATGATTAATAAATGGAGATTGATTTTGTCTAAATAATTTTATATAATCTTTCTTTCTCGCTATGTGCTATATATATATTTATATATATATATATAAATAAATATCGCAATGTTTTGAAGTTTAGCATTATGGATATAACATAAGTACTACAATCACGGTTGCAATGGCTAAATAATTTCTGCCATATTATACGATTCACGAATAACAAGCAGTTTCTTACAAATGTATAATAGTAAGTTTTTGTAAATTGGCAAGATTTTGCACACAATTGTTTTGTACGAAATATGCGTACTTGTATATACATTTATACGGTAGGAAAATTTTGAGATCTTTATTTAAATGCGATATCCAACACTGATGGACTCGGAATACATATCGAATCACTAATATAGCTCAAATTATTTCTCGTACAAAAACCAAAAGGTTCTTGAAAGTTACGATCATTTTGAAAATATATTCTTTTCTTTTATAAAATACTTTACATTATTACTTCCATCCACTCTTATTTTATACACAGATAACAATTTTATTTTTAAGAATGTTTAACACGTTTTAGATAATTTTTTAATTTTCCAGATATATAAAACTTTCAGGAATTTTCAAGACTTTCTGAGAATTCGGTTTTAAAAACAATTTGAACCTTTACACGTGATTGAAAATAATGTTCAACTATACAATTGTTAAAAATTTTCAAGAAACGAATCGTTTATCATTATTCAACATTTGCCGCTTGAAGTTTTTAGGTACTCGTATATCTCAGTGATAATAAAAACAACGATAATCGTATAAAATATAAATACAAATAGCTTGATTACAATATAATCTAGAGATAATGACTAATCTTTTATTTTACTATCGCTAAACGAATATGATATATCCGACATAAAAAGAAGAAAGCATAATGCTAAACTTCTAAGTAGAACCGTTTTACCCAACAACATTAACGACACTACGTGTACGTAACATACGATTACGTTAATAGGGTATTTTTCCTTATACATAGCAATTATAAACATAATAAAATCATCATTTAATACATATCGAAAAAGGATGCCTTTCATTGAAACAAAGATTACTTATAGAATTAACATTTTTACAACAATTTTACATAAAAGAACAAATGTATGATGCATATATACAAACGAAATTCATTTCTATTGTATAGGATTTTAAATGCAATTACAATGTGATTACAAATAGAAACTATTGAGATCTGCGTATTATAAGTAAAAATATCTCGTTTAAATAGAATATATGTATTGCATAAAAATATCATTTGGTTCTCTTGGTCTGTATTATGTAATATCTAATAAAAAACGATAAATAAGCGTTTTTAAAAAATGGAGGAATTTTGCAATAAATGCTGCTATGTATAACACAGGATCTTCATAATACGACTTTCTTTGGTTAATCCTTTTTTAGACAAAAATATCTCATATTTTTAGCAATGCTGTAGTTTAATATAAACTACCGCATTTGACCGAAATTTGACTATCTAATATGGAATGCACGAAAATAGTTAAAATTATGATAGATCTATCCAACTGATTACTCTTAGGCCAGAGTTAATCACAGTGTGTAACATATTACAATTTTATTTCAATATTCGTAACGTGCATTGTGTTTTGATGTTATATAAATAAACGAATTCTTAATAATATGAAATACATAAAGGACTAAATATGTTAAAGAAGACGCTCTTTTTCAAATATATCAAAATTCATCATCTTTATTTTTAATAAAAAATAAAATAAAATACAAAATAAAATAAAAAAAAAATCTATCTCATCTCTGGCCACGTTAATTTTCAATTAGACAGTCCTATCACAGTTATGATATGACCCCTTATATGCCTAAAAATTACAAAATAATTCATCGTCACAGTTTAACAAATAATTATAATTATATATATTCGATACTGATTGCATTGTCATCTGTGTATAACATCATATAAAATATTAGAAAAGATGTTCGAAGGAATCTTTCCTAGTATTTTTTTTAAATCGATAAAATCATCCCTGCAGCGGTTTTTTTTGCCATTAAATACATTTTTAACTTAAAAAATATTAATTTTATTTAAAAACTTAATTTAGCATACCCCTATTTTCCAATGAATCTCTTAGTGTTTGGAAAAGTTGCAATTGTTGCTCTGGCTTCAGGCTATAAACCTAAATTGAAAGATACATAAAGAATTATGCTTACTTATTTCTTGTCGTATTATAATTTATAATACGAAGAAAAAATTAATATTGCTTATACTATAAAAACTTATACTAAGTAAACAACTTTATTTATTTAGTTTACCTGCTGTAACAGCTTTTGAGGCGATGCAGTATGGATAAATGAAGAAATA